AATTGGGCATAATTTTGTTTTTAAGGTTTTTTTCTTAAAAAACCCACATGAACCATTTTTTACTTAATTTTGAACATATCTGAAAGGTATTTTGAAAGGAAAGGAACCTTTAATGAGTATTCTGCTACTAGTTAGTTATGAAATTATTATGTAATTTATGCACGTGATTGATGTATTCAGATTCAGTCTATCACCCCGGTATGTTCTATCACAATGAAAGATCAATTCTGAGATGCTACTGAAAGCCTGAGTCTAGCAGTTACATTCTTACTTTTCAAAGTTTCAGAAGGGTAGCCAAGTTAGTCTGTAACAGGAAAAAATTAAAAAACCACAAATAGACCAGTAGCACCTTTAAGATGAACAAAACATGTAGATGGTATTGTGAGCTTTTCATCTCAAGAAGTGGGCTATGCCCACAAAAGCTTATGATACCATCTACATGTTTTGTTAGTCTTTAAGGTGCGACTAGACTATTTGTTGTTTTTTTAAGTTTATTCTTACCTTTGTTTACTTCCATTTGCTCCTTCTAAAGCTAACACCAAAGTGTATCCATAAGAGTTGATCCTAGTCACACAGCTTCTAAAACTCACCTTAAAATTTGGGCTGAGCTTGATGAAGATGCTGGTTTTCTTATCCCACATGAGAATCAACCCAGTATCGATGTCAAAGACCATGTAGATGCCCATGTAACGGATCTTGTATGGCACTTGCCCTCCATGGACCTTCTCTATCACTTCAAACTTTCCATCGCTGAGTATCAGTTCATAGTTCTAAAAGTGAAAGAAAAGTCACAAGTCAGTAAAAAAGCCAACAGATTTAATATACACATAATTCAATCTACGTCATTTCTTCTATAGATAAGACACAAATGCTGGCATTAAATTTGGAAGTCTGGGAAAGCTTATCTTGTTCAATTGGTTATTTTTATAATGTGATCTACGTTGGGCAGACAGTTGTGCATCCTACTCATACCAGAGACCAGGTACACAGGTTTTTCCCAACTGTTTATCAAAGAAGGTACTTACTTCTACGAAGACTTTAATGGCCTTTGAGCAGGTGGTCCCAGTGGTTCCACAGGGGATATTCTCAGTAATAACTCGGAAGTTTCCAAAGCTGGTACTGTTTTTACCACAGTAATCCTGAGAAGAGGAATGGTAGTTGGTGTTAGTAATGTAAGGTCACCACATACAGGAACACAAGATACTTTTAGAGGTATAATAATCCTAGGAAAGCAGCTTAGTACCTGGACCAGGGTGTATTCACAATCTCCACTAAAGCTGTAGCGTTTGCCATCAAAAGTAATGTAATGACCATCTCCATAAACAGAGCAGGTTGCCAGACAAGGTTCATTGGTACATTGCCACATTCTGTTTTTACATGTGCTAGGAGGGAGAAAAAAGTTCCAAATATAACAAAATGTACTTCAATGTATTCATTTCTCATCACCTAGCCAGATGTAAATTTGATTCAGGATTAAACCTATTCTCCTGGGAAATAGGGCTTACTCCTGCTAAACATTAATGTAACAGCACATAATTTCCAAAGATTAATTTATATTACGATGAAATGGGTAATATGATTGAGAACAATTTAAAAAACTCTGGGTATTTCAAAAACCTCTAAGAATTTTTTTAAATGGATGCACCATTTAGGGACTGCACATAGACTGAATGGGCATAAACTTTCCCCATGCATCTTTAAAGGAGATGAGGGTATGTAAAGCCCATTATTGTCCTAAACATTTAGGCTATGCCTACACTACAAAGATAAATCAGAAAAAGAAACACAATTTGTGGTACACAAATTGCGTATCTTTTTCTGATTTACTTCTGAAAGAGGCTTTTCTGAAATTTGGCCCATCTATGTGGGGCCAAATTTCAGAAAAAAACCCGTCTTTCAGACCATCCCTTCTTCCTTGTAAAACAAAGTTTACAGGGATGCCAAAAAAACTGTGTCTGCTTTTCCGACATTTTTTGTTAAAGGGATGTGTTCTTGGTATACCAGAAAAGCTGTGCAGTCTAGACATAGCCTTACTGTCCCTGTTTGGCTTCTAAAAGAATGAAGAGAGCCTATTTTTTATGATGAATATTGGATTTCGGCATTAGATTCTAATGCTGAACTAACTACCAACCCTCTTACACTGAAGAACCCGATTACCAACCAGATTTCAGTGTACAGGCCACTTGCATATTTATCATCACCTTCTATTGGATGGAATATAAGCTCCATGCAAGTGAGTGCTGTAAGTCTCAATTCTGTTACAGCAAAATGAGATTCTCTTCTAGTGTAATGAAATGGACATGTAACTATTAGGACTGTGAAAACCATACTATTCAACGTATACATACCAGGTATTACAGTTGACTTTGATTGTTTCTCCTGGTTTGTAGGAGGCCTCATTGTGAACACACGGACAGTCCTCCACAGCTATACAACCCCTTTTGCCGTCTGACACTAGATCATTAGGGCAAATGCAGCCAGAGACACACTGTGTGCTGTACTGTAAGAACCAGAGTGAAAACACCCTTTGTGAGATCATGTCAGTGAAAAAGAATCCTTCTGCTCCACAGCACAGTGTGTGTGAGATTTAATTTTGGTGAGGACACAAAAATGTTGTCAAGTGGGCATAAGGAATTGGCACTTACGCATCCCATGTCAAGTGTCTGACAGCTCTTCTGGCACTCAGATCCAACTGTGCCTGCAGTGACATTGCTGCAGTCAAAGTACACCATTGGCGCTGCACAGACTGCAAGAGACAGAACCCCATATGATAGTTGCGATCAAACACAGAGTTATCAGTTATTGCTATGGCGATTATTGCCATGAACAGGTCTGAGAAGCGTCTTGATTTAAGAGTAAAGCCAAGGAACACAATCTAACATGAACACTGCCGTTACTGGTAAATAACCTTGATTTGCTCTGTAACGTGTTTTAACTCACTGATGAAATCATTGTACCAGTATAGCTGAGCATAAGGATTGGTTTAGAATGATGAATGACCTCAGATATAGGAGCTCATTTTCTTTGGTGGTAAACTTTGAATACAATTCTTTGTTAGTGTGAATTGTTGGCAAAGAACATTTGCAGCTAATTTACGCATTACTTTGACTAAAAAATCCATGTTAATCTTTATATAATATCTTGCAATTCAGTTTATCCTCTTGTAATTGTACTATAATTAATGGGTCACATTTTAGTATAGCATATGCAGAGTTTTCGCATTCTATGCGATGCCATGCACAAATGGCCAGTTAGTTACAGAACTGGTCATTTGCATATTTAATTACCACCTCTGCAAGAACAGATATGATAACTGGAGCCAAATCCTGCAGTCTTTATTTAATTAAAACTCCGACTGAAATATTGTGCAAGTACCATTGTAGGGTTGAGTGCCATATCTTGAATTACCACCTGATAATAGCTGTACTATTAAACATATGAGCTAGAAGTGTGGCCAGATCCTGGTTATTAATGTCATGTAAAAAAATTGGTTGGCGCAAGCCATTGGCACCTGAGAGATCATTAATGTTTTTTCTTCTGCTGAATGGAGAATGGAGTCTGTGGTATGTTATATTTTAGGTTTTACTGGGTACTTGGTGACATATGAGATAAGTACTTTGAACCACCTTTCAGTTACTAAGAATTACATCTTATCATCATTTCTTTGTTCAGAAAATAAACCGATTTTTGTTACTGTATTAAGAGTTGTATTGTTTTTATTTATTTTTGGCTTCCTTTTGTTGACTTTCATTTTTAATAAGTCCTATGGAAATTTGCCTTTTGGAGCACAATTGACAAAGGATGTTCTTCATCTTACATTTCTCAAGTTACTGGCTTCAAGTAATTTTTACTTTTTAGGAAATTCAGTGGTTATTTTATACTGTCTTGTGGCTGTGTTCTTTTTTATGTTACACTATGACCTGATCTTATCTTGCTTGGAATTAGATTGTTTATTTATTGTCATATTTTGTTTCCACTATGCCAAAATATATGCTTTGCATTTCAAGAATTACATCCTCAATACTACAAAGCTGCTATGCAAATAGTTTCTCATCAGTTAATTTCCCTGCTAGGTTTCAGATGTTTCCCGTCTTCATCACTGTAATAAAACAGAGTTCGCTGAAAAGTGTGTGTGGGAATGAAAATAAAACTTAAAGGGGTTATACCTGGCTCTGGTTTTACTCTCATGCAGTCCAGCTTTCCATGTGTGCAAGAGCTGTTGGAAAGAGAAGAGAATTATGTTTGTTTAAAATTGTAATTAGCTATTTGGAGAACAACTTCTACCTTGCCATGCATCCAGTCTTTCCTATGGAATTTGGAATACTGAAATGCCACCTTTTGGACAGAGATAGACATCCTTTCAACAGAACTGCATATACTGTTTGCATACAATTTTTGCTGTAATTGTCCAGAAAGCAAATACACTTGTGCCTCATGCTAAACCAGCGCCACCCAGTCAATTTGTCTACATACGATTATTACTCTTAAAAAGGTTCTCCCATAATATTATTGGTTTCAGCAGCATTCTTCATTTTTCAATACAGGGGATATCAAACTGGTAGACTGTTTTTTTTAAACCTGAAAAAAACCGTTTAAATTCAGGGAGAAGTTAGTTGATTGGATTAAAGAAAAACTTCTAAACAGAGACAATCCTAAAAACTGAAGAGTATTTGTGGTTTTCAAATGGAAAATTCTTAGAGGGAGAAAAACACATTTGAGTTGACTAGATTCCATAAGATGTACATGATTCCATGATTGCCGGTATACAGCCCCATGTTTTATTAAAGAACCTCTTACCATATGACACCGTTGTCGTGAACAACCTCCCCAGAAGGTAACATGGATCCTTTATAATAACAAGGACAGCTGGTAGCAGGAACACATTTCCCATGTTCGTCCAGGTAAGTTCCGTTTGCACAAGTGCAGCCATCAACTGGAGAGAATTTGATGTTGCAGGTGACATCTGGCTCACTCAAAGACCGGCAAGTGGGTTGGCAGGAATCAACAGCGTAGCTGTATGTCAGGGATTTGGGGCATGAAGTTATGGCTTGAGAGAATAAAATAAAGTAAGTTACATATCTTATTTAATTATCACTATCAATGCCATATTTTGAATATACGGTAAACAATAAAACAGATGCTGACCATACATAGATTAACGTGCAATGGACTAAACTCTGTACTGAAGTCAACAGCAATGTAATTTACATGGCTTTTGTATTTCTACTAAAAATATCCCCTAATTTACTATCTCAGTTAAACTAGAGAATCTCCTTGCTAACAACAAGGTTCCTCCAATTTAAACAAGAGAATTAAACTCATATTTAAGTGTCTAGTTTATTTTTGTTTGTTTGTTTATTTTCCTCCTTCCACCATCAGCAGATTAAAGAAATGAAACTGGAAGCATCCTAGTTTATATTAAACCCACAGAAAAAGCCTTATGCTCACTTATATGTCCTTATGACTCATGCATTGTAGTCATAATTCTCAAGAATCATCTTCTTTAAGTAACTTCCTACTTATTGCTCATTACATTCCCCCATTATTCATACACCTTAGATTCTATTGAGGAATTGTTTCTACATCATCAAACTTTTGTTTAAGATATGACTGGTTGAGCCCTGGATTTCTTGGAAACAGATATAAAGTACCCACTGGTTGATCATTTTTACCAGTAAATGGTTTAACAACTTACTGCAGACATTGGTCCTCCATTCCTTCAAAAGGACTCCTTTGGCAGCACAGGCTCTGACGTAGCTAGACAGGGCAGCGCACATACAATCTTCACTCTTTTCACAGTTACAGGTGTCAAACAGACAGTTCTAGGAATACATATAAAACTCATTAGTAACTATTGAACTGCTCAAAGAAATTTCCCTTTAAGCTTTTACATTCACATGCCAAAATCACTAGCTAAATTTAGTCTTATAATGGATTATAGAGCCAAATTCTGCTTTGTAGTACTCACCTTGAAATTTATTGGACCAAATTTGTGCTCTGATTTACCCCGATATAGATATGAAGTATGTCAATTGGTTTAATCTGAGTTTCTGTCAGTGTAGTTGAGACTGGTACATTGATATCTGTGCATTTTTATCTATATAAAATGTAACTAGTTCTTCTCTGTAGTCATAGGTATTTCAGAGTGGCTGGCTACGTCTAAACTGGCATGATTTTCCGGAAATGCTTTTAATGGAAAAGTTTTCCGTTAAAAGCATTTTCGGAAAAGCGTGTCTAGATTGACAGGACGCTTTTCCGCAAAAGCACTTTTTGCGGAAAAGCGTCCGTGGCCAATCTAGATGCACTTTTCCGCAAAAAAAGCCCTGATCGCCATTTTCACGATCGGGGCTTTTTTGCGGAAAACAACTCTCTGCCCAAATGGGAGCAGCATAGTATTTCCGCAAAAGCACTGACAATCTTACATTGAGATTGTCAGTGCTTTTGCGGAATTCAAGTGGCCAGTGTAGACAGCTGGCAAGTTTTTCCACAAAAGCAGATGATTTTGCGGAAAAACTTGCCAGTCTAGACACAGCTGCTACGTCTAGACTGGCATGATTTTCCGCAAATGTTTTTAACGGAAAAGTTTTTCCATTAAAAGAATTTGCGGAAAAGAGCATCTAGATTGGCACAGACGCTTTTCCGCAAAAGCACTTTTTGTGGAAAAGCGTCCGTGCCAATCTAGACGTGGTTTTGCACAAGAAAGCCCCGATCACCATTTTCGCCATCGGGGCTTTTTTGCGCAAAACAGTTTTTAGCTGTCTACACTGGCCCTCTTGTGCAAAAACATTTCCGGAAAAGGGCTTTTGCCCGAAGGGGAAAGTCAAAGCATTTGCACAAGAAGCACTGATTTCAGACAGTAGAATGTCAGTGCTTTTGCACAAAATCAAGTGGCCAGTGTAGACAGCTGGCAAGTTTTTGCTTTTGCGGAAAAACTTGCCAGTCTAGACGCAGCCAGTGCGTATAACATGCAAATCTCGATTACTTCCCTGCAAGGGAAAATTATTCTGAGTACCTGCAAAAAGGATGCAATCCTTTACAAGGAAGTTAAATAGATGACTGTAGCTGTATTTTTTATGTATTTTTTTTATTTGAGGGGAAAAAATAATTTTACTATTTATATCAGATGTTTACAACCAATGCAGAATTGTATACAAAGTGAAACAAGTTAACCTACGTGGAGAAGGAGCAGATTACATGAAATCAAATTATAATTAAACATTATTATAGCTTGATGAACCTGTCAGAAACCAACCTGGTGTTTAAACCAGCTCCTCCTTGTCTGATTCCTGGTTTTCTTGGCATTTGGTATCAGGGATCAGACTCTTATTGGTGCTATTATAAAAGTGAAAGAAATAACTAGCAAAGTACCGTGTGGTAAATATCTGGATCCACTGTCGAATGGCATTCAGCAAAAGGGCCTTGAGGATTAGTCAGCAATCTACACCAGTGCTGAGCATATTTTTCTGTAAAAAAACAGAAAATGAGATTAATTCATGTTTCATATTATGGGATTAAATTCTCTTTTCACTTACATCCCTGTAATCTCATTGGCTACGTCTACACTGGCCCCTTCTTCGGAAGCGGCATGCTAATTTTGAAAGTGGGAATAGGGAAATCCGCGGGGGATTTAAATATCCCCCGCAGGATTTAAATAAACATGGCCGCCGCTTTTTTTCCGGCTTGGGGAAAAGCCGGAAAAAAGCGTCTAGACTGGCCCGATCCTCCGGAATAAAGCCCTATTCCGGAGGATCTCTTATTCCTACTTCAAAGCACTTTGTGTTCAGTGGACTTGCAGAAGCATAATGGAGAGTAGAATTTGGCTCTGTATTTCTTCAGACACAAAAAACTGCCCTTTCTCTTTTGTACAGAAATATGAACATGTCATAAACTGACTGAAGCTAAACCAAAGTGTCTGGCTTTGATTAAGCTGTCAGAGGGATTAAAAAAAAACTTTAAAAAACAACAAAGGTCCTATAGCACCTTAGGGTACATCTACACTGCATGCTTATTTCAAAATAAATAATTCCAGAAGACATACTCCAAAGTAGCTTATTTTGAAATAGCGTGTCTACCCTACAAGGAAACCTCAAAATTAGTCTGAGGTAGTTTCCCCTGATGTGGAAGCGCTAACTCGATTGAGAGCCCCAGGAGCTACTACAAAGTAATTTTTTTGAATGGCTCCGGGGAGAAGCTATTTCAAAATAGCGGCAGTGGAGCATCCGCACTACAGCTATTTCAGAATAGGCATTATTTTTCGTAGAATGAAATTTACAGAAATTGGAATAAGCTATCCATTATTTCAAAATTATTTTGAAATGACGGAATTGCTGTGTAGACACTTGCATTGTTATTTCAAAATAATGTCATTTATTCTGAAATAATGGTGCTGTGTAGATGCACCCTTAGGGTATGTCTACCCTGCCACCCTAGTTTGAACTAGGGTGGCTAATGTAGGCATACGAAGTTGCAAATGAAGCCCGGGATATTTAAATCCCGGGCTTCATTTGCATCTTGCCGGGAGCCACCATTTTTAAATCCCCCTTAGTGCGGACTCCATGCCCGCGGCTACACCCGGCACAGAGTAGGTAGTTCGAATTAGAGAGCCTAATTCGAACTACCTACTCTGTGCCGGGTGTAGCCGCGGGCATGGAGTCCGCACTAAGGGGGATTTAAAAATGGTGGCTCCCGGCAAGATGCAAATGAAGCCTGGGATATTTAAATCCCGGGCTTCATTTGCAACTTCGTATGCCTACATTAGCCACCCTAGTTCGAACTAGGGTGGCAGTGTAGACATACCCTTAGAGACTAACCAAAAATATATAATTAATATCATGAGCTTTCATAGACAAAATCCACTTCTTCAGTTTGTCATCTGAAGAAGTAGGTTGTGCCCATGAAAGTTCATGTTACTATCTATCTATATTTTTGGTTAGTTTCTGAAGGTACATCTATACTACAAAGAAGATCAAAGCTGCCGCTGTCAATCTTCCGGGGTTGAATTAGTGGGTCTAATTAAGACAGCTAATTCAAATGGAGAGGGGCTCTCCCGTCAATGCCAGTAGTCCTGTTTTCATGAGGAGTAACCAAAGGCAGAGTGTTTTCCTTTTGACTTCCTGCAGAATGGATTGTACCAAAAATCAAGTTAAGGTACTTCGACTTCAACTATGCAATTAACGTAGCTGAAGTTGTGTATCTTAAAAATTCAACCTTGTCCCATAATATAGTCATACCAAAAGATACTACAGAGCCATTGTTGTTTTTTAGTTTTTTTTAAATTAAGCTGTGAAAGCCTGAGATTATGTTTTGAAAAAAGAGATCCTCACTATGGATTACCAGTATCTCAGTCCATATTAGAGGCAGAGTGGCTTGTGGACTCAAAGCATGTATGTACTTTATTAGCAAAAAAGAAAGAGAATCATGAACCAACAAATTCTAGGTATGATTTATGACTCACTTTGTCCAAATATGCAAAATTCTGAGCGCACCATGTCTCTTAGATGTAACTCATCATCTTACAGAATGGAATGATAACCTCTTCGGTGCCTCACTTTTTCCATATGCAAAATGGGAATATTAAAACCAAACTTCTTAACTCACAGGAATACTGTGAGATTGTACAATGCTCTATTAGTCATAAGTATTATTATTTATTAGGAGAAAACCTAAGTCATGTCTGACTGCAAGTGGATGAGTGAGATTGGATGAGTTAAAATGAATCATAGCATCCTGTTAATATTTCTTGAAGTTAAATAATTGCCTTGTTTTTCAAGCTAATCTTCTAAGATTTAATTTCTAAAACCGTCTATGTGTCACATGGAATTTAGAATCTGAATTTGTTTCTATTACATATTTTTGTCAGTTTTGTTTGTATTTCTAATTAGAGAAGAAAAATATTATATCAAACATACCATTTTCAATGCTGAGGGAACATGGGTTCTCAAAGATGTTTTTTACATTAGGACAATCAGCTTGGGTTTTCCAGGTGTTGGCAAAGGCGGCTGCTGTTCCTTCCACTACACCACTTGTGGCTTTGAAGTCATCTGCCTGGATACTGTTGAAGTTTCCACAGAGACCTTAGTGGCAAACAAAGGATTTTGAATCTCATACTAGATCAAAGGTCATTTCAACATATGAGGGTCAGAACCTGCGCCTTCCAAGTTACACACCTCGTTAAAGACCCATGTCTCCAGGTTGACGTTACTTCTTAAAGCTACCTCTAAGAACAGTTGCCTGTGAATATTGGACAATTCTGGCTACTTTTCCTATCTCTATTTTAGGGACCCTACAAAACACTTCAAGACCCACTGATAGGCTATGCTTTTGACTTCTCAGCCTGAAAAATGTCTATACTTTTATTTGACCAAAGTAAGCATAACATAAAAGTAAAAATTGTATTCTTGCCCTTAATCTTATAAAAGCTCAGCAGTGCTTTCCTTCCTGAGCACAATCTTACTCTCTGATTGTCTCCCACCCATGTAAGCTGTTTGTGTACTCCTTCTATTTCAGAGTCCAAGGCTCTGTGTCTTCAGCGCTAAGAGGCACAGGTTCTTTTAGTCTGTGTGAAGCAAAACTATGTACGATGCTGTTGAACCCTTATAATAGGCCCTCACATAATACTATTTCACAGTAGGAAAGACATTAGATCTCATAAGTCCACTTACCACATGTCTGCCCTTTGTAGGATGGGTCTAGGTTAATAACAAGTTGCATGATGGGTAAAAGCTGGATCACAAGCTGAACGCCAAAGTTTGTTTGTACAATGATGAAGAAGGAGGAAGGCCGGAAGATGGTGACATTGCCTACGGACAAATGACAAAAGGAGCATGTTTTTGTAAGTGATCAAAAATTGCAACAACTGTCCTATATTTACAAAGATTCTCTTTATGCCAAGCTGCTGCTACAAGAAGTATGATTTTATCCCTCAGGGAAAAAAGGGAGAGTTAATTTGAACTGGATCTAAAATCTGTTGCAAAGTTAGTCTACGGCTACTCTTGGCAGCAGGCATGCAGAGCACTCATCCAATCCGGAAATTTCTTTGGAACAAGAGGATGAACATGAATTTCTGTGTCCAGCAGAAAAAGGACTTTTGCTCTGTGAGAATTACCTAACAGGATTTTTTCCAAATTTCCCTTCCCTCCCATATGGAAATATTTGATACGTGTATGGTAGCTATACTCTGTAAATGTGAGGAAAACGAAGGAATTCTCGATAGCATGAATGCCTTTAATGCTGAATAATCTTCATGAAAACAGGCAGAAGAAGCACTGGGCCACTTAATGGCTCAGTAAATTGTAGACCAGTTTTTTTGGTCCCTGTGTACACCACAAATATGTATTTTGCTTCTGCGATAGTACTTGATCCTGGAAATATCAGAGTGATGTGGTATCAGCAAATTGAAGAGGTACTCTCTGATTATCATAAAACTCAAAGATGTGGAATGAGCAACACTAATTATTTTAAAAATATGAGTTTGCTACAGGGTAACTTAGGGCTTTTCTATACTATGGAGAAGATCGACTCCACAGTAGTCGATCTTCTGGAGTTTGAATTAGCGGGTCTAGTGAAGGCCCACTGATTCAAACTGAAGGGGCGCTCCCCTTGGCAGTGCTAGTCCAGCTCCTCGGGAGGATTAAGGGAAGTTGATGGGAGCATGTGCTCCTGTTGGCCTCCCGCTCTATGAATGGCACCAAAATGCAATTTAAGATACTTCAGCTACGTAATTAACATAGCTGGAGTTTGCGTATCATAAGTCAACTTTCCCCATTAGCGTAGACCTGGCCTTTGAGCAGAATGTAACTGAGAGTGGCAGCAAAGCATTAATCCACCCATGTTAAAGTCCATAAATCCTACACTTATCTCCTAAGAAAACATACCTGCAGAGAGGGGCAGCTGTGTATACATTGTATTCACAAACACACTGCCAGAAGGTTTGATCACAACAATCTGGAAAGAAGAAAAAGACAATTGGTAGGCAGGCTTAGGGATAGTACAAAGCTTTTCAGATATTTCATATCAAGTATTGCTCAGGATGAAGAAAAAGTCAGATGTTGGATATAGTGATAATCCATTTTCAACACAATAATGTTTTTATTACTATCCTATTTTCTATAAGCTTGATAACTAACAATTATTTAGAAAACTGTATAAAATGTAAACATCAGACAACTACCAATATCTTGACTTCCATTATCTGCACTATGGTTTCTTTTTGCTTGATCAAAGCTATACCTTATTTGATTAAAAAATCAATTGACTTCCTATGTGTGCTTTTATGTGTGTGTATGTATCCATCACAAACAATACGGCTACATCTAGACTGGTCCCTATTACGAAATAGCCATGCTAATTTCCAACTTTGGAATAGGGAAATCCGCGGGGGATTTAAATATCCACCGCGGGATTTAAATAAACATGTCCGCCGCTTTTTTTCCGGCTTGGGGAAAAGCCGGCAAAAAGCGTCTAGACTGGCACGATCCTCTGGAATAAAGCCCTTTTCCGGAGGATCTCTTATTCCTACTTTCAAGAGATCCTCCGGAAAAGGGCTTTATTCCAGAGGATCGTGCCAGTCTAGACGCTTTTTGCCGGCTTTTCCCCAAGCCGGAAAAAAAGCGGCGGACATGTTTATTTAAATCCCGCGGTGGATATTTAAATCCCCCGCGGATTTCCCTATTCCAAAGTTGGAAATTAGCATGGCTATTTCGTAATAGGGACCAGTCTAGATGTAGCCGTATTGTTTGTGATGGATACATACACACATTCATGAGCACAGGATTTGAATTCAAGGGCATCTATGTTCAAAATATTATTGATACGATCTAAGGCTGAGCACAATTCTTCAGGAGTAGAAGTCGGGGTGAATTTAGTTGATGATGGATAAACACTTCTTGCAAGCTACTGATGACTAAAATTGTATATTAGTTTAAGCACAGCACACCCCCCTCTCACCAACCTACCCAACAACCCTCAGTTTTAAAAACATGAAAGCAAAAGGTTGGGTATCTGTTTTTACTACTTACAGTTTGTCCTCCACTTATGCTGATGGCTACACCTTTCAGGCATGTTTCGGTGTCAGTTAGGCCACATTTGCGTACTTCTCCTAGAACTGTGAAGGCATTGCTGTCACAGAGCTGAAAAAAATAAAAACAAAACCCATAATGTAAAAAGGGACCAGTGTCAAATAGCATTCTGGTCATAGTAAATTTTGTTCATTCCTTTTCTTCGTTATTCTCTCATATACATATCTGTTGATATTGACCAAAGTAAGCTGGGGTACGTCTACACTACAGCGCTAGTTCGAACTAACTTAGTTCGAATTAGTTAATTCGAACTAAGCTAGTTCGAACTAACGCATCTAGAACTAAAAACTAGTTCGAACTAGCGTTTTGCTAGTTCGAACTAGTAAGTCCACATTGAGTGGACTCTGAACAGGGCTTAAGGATGGCCGGAAGCAGTGCCGGCAGGGCATAAAAGGAGGACTTAGAGCATGGAGATACTGTCTCAGGCTAGCCGAGGGCTGCGCTTAAAGGGTCCCGACCCCCACCCCGGACACACAGTTCTAAGGGGTGCCCCGCTTGCAAAGAAGTTCTGGCTTGGAGTGCCCTGAGTGCCCACACTGGGCACATCACACCACTCGGCCATCAGCCCGGCTGCACTTGCCGCAGGCTGCCATCTGGGGAGAGGGAGTAATTGGGGGGCTGCAGGAGAGCTTCCACCCCCAGAAGCCCGCAGAGCCAGCCCAGTCCTCCCCATCGGGGGCTCGTACCCCATTCCTCCCTCACCTCCTTCCACTTACCCTTCCCTAGCCCCCCTTCTTATTGATGTACAAAATAAAGATAACGTTTCTTCCAACATTGACTCTGTCTTTATTGAAAAAAACTGGGGGAGACTGGGAAAAGGAGGTGGGAGAGGGGAAGAGAAAGGCTGGGAGAGGGGAGGGCAACTAACATGATCAGGGGTTGGGAACAGGTCCCAGATGAAGAGAGGCTACAGAGACTGGGACTGTTCAGCTTAGAAAAGAGGAGACGGAGGGGGGACAGGATAGAGGTCTCTAAAAGCAGGGGTTGGGTGGAGAGGGTGCATTCAGAAAAGTTCTTCCTGAGTTCCCATAAAGAAGGACTAGAGGACACCAAAGGAAAGGAATGGGTAGCAGGCTTGAAACTAGTAAGAGAAAGTTGTTCTTGACAAAGCAAATAGTTAACCTGTGGAACTCCTTGCTGCAGGAGGCTGTGAAGGCTACAACTAGAACAGAGTTTAAAGGGAAGTGAGATCAAGTCATGGAGGTTGGGTCCATGGAGTCCTATTAGCCAGAGGGTAGGAGTGGTGTCCCTGCCCAAAGTTTGTGGAAGGCTGGAGAGGGATGGCACGAGACAAATGGCTTGATCACTGTCTTCGGTCCATCCCCTCCAGGGTCCCTAGGGTTGGCCGCTGTTGGCAGACAGGCTACTGGGCTAGATGGACCTTTGGTCTGACCCAGTACGGCCATTGTAAGCTCAGGGCTCAGGGTCGGGGGTCTCAGTGGACCCCCTTGATTTTCATGCACACCTGGTCCTGGGTGGCCAGGCTGGCAGCTCTCCTGCCCTAGACGGCCACTTTCCTGTGCCTAGTGCAGAGATCGTGGACAAGGTCCATTATGTCTGCACTAGCCCAGGAAGGTGCCCACTTCTTGCGGTCCTGGGCAAGCTCCCGGGAGCCGCCAGCCTGGGCCTGGGGAGAGGGTGCTGTGCCAGGTGCAGGGTCTGCTAGCTGGGTGCTGGCAGGCTTGCACCTGGCACGGGCACCGTAGCCAGCCCGTGCCCCTTTAAGGGGTCCGGGGCCGGGAGGGGGGCATAGAGTTTCCCTGGTGTTGGCCAGAGTGGCCACCAGGGAAACCTGGGAAGCCTTAGCCTCCCCCTAGTTCGAACTAAAGGGCTACACAGCCCTTAGTTCGAACTAGCTAGTTCGAACTAGGCGTTAGTCCTCGTAAAATGAGGTTTACCTAGTTCGAACTAAGCGCTCCGCTAGTTCGATTCAAATTCGAACTAGCGGAGCGCTAGTGTAGCACCTATTAAAGTTAGTTCGAACTAACGTCCGTTAGTTCGAACTAACTTTGTAGTGTAGACATACCCCTGGTGTATACACATGCAACACAATGAAGAGTTTCAGATGACCATGGCATTAAATACTTGACATACCCGGGGGAGATTTCAGGGGTGTTAATGTTCAGACATTCCTAGATTAGCAGAAGATATTTTGTGGCATTCTCTTTTCAGTTAAAATTTAACCTGACCTCATTGAAAATGAGGTGATTGTAGCTGATGAAAAGGATTTCTAGCACACAGCTGTTAGATGAGGAAAGATAACTTTTTGTGGCTGTTTTTTTATTTTTAATATTAAATGTTATTACTTTTTTTAACCAAAGTTTCTATATATAAGTCACTGAGGGTATGTCTATACTACAGCATCATTTTGAAATACCTTATTTTGAAATTACATGTCTAAACACAAAATGCATTTCAAAATAGTGTTTTGCTGTTTTGAAATAGCGCATCCACACTGATAGGATGCTGAATCGCATTTAAGGCCAGCCCGAATCAGTTCTGGCAGGGTATCAGGTCAGGAATTACCTTGTGTGGCTGCTGCCTGAGGCTATCTGAGACCTGTGCTTAAAGGGACTCCCCTGGACAGCTGGTTCTAAGGTTTCCCTACTTGCTTGCCTACCTCACTGAGGGACAGCAAAGCATTTTTTTCTTTGCGTGCTTGGTTACCCTCACTCAGGACACCTCAGCACTCTGCAGCATGGAGTTGGAGCTGCCCCTGGGCACTGTGGTGCTTCTCCTGGACGTGTTGCTGCGAGCCTGTTCTGCAGGCAGTAACAGTTTCCCTGGTGTGCCCCACTGGGGGCTTGTGCCTCATTCCTCCCTCACCCTACCCCCCCTTCCTGCTGTACAATAAAAAACACGTGTTCATTACAACAAAGCCTCTTTATTGAACAAAACTGGGGTGGGGAGGGGAATGAAACTGAAGTGAGACTGGGGAAAGAAGGTGGGAGAGGGGAGGGGGAAACCTGGGAGGAGGGAGCTGCCAGGGGGAAGCAAGGAGAGGAAGGGGAAGGAGAAGCTCAGGGCTCAGCGTTGAGAGTCTCGCTGGCCCAACTGTCTCCCAGCACCATTGGTGTGGGGGCCTCAGTGTCTCTGGGGGTGTGTGGAGGAAGAAGCAGAAAGGGGAGAAGGAGTGGGAGGAGGTGTGGTAGCTGAGGAGGCAGCAGGGGCTGGAGCAGCAGGAGACAGCAAGCTCTCCCCCAGGGTCAAGGACCACTTGTGTGGCATGGATCATAGTGCCCCCAAAGATGCGGTCCATGGCATCAAAATAGAGGTAGGGGTTTGGGTCAGCCCCTGATTGGGAGCTGCCTTCTGTGGCCCTGGCATACGCCTGTCACAGCTCCTTTATTTTCAGGTGAACCTGCTCCTGGGTTCACATGTGGCCTTTGGTGGCGAGGCTGGCAGCCATCCGCCTGGAGACAGTTGCATTCCTCCATTTAGTGGAGAGATCATGGACATTGGAGGCATCCCCCCCAAACCTGAATTAGGTCTCTGATCTCTGCACTGGACCAGGCAGGCACCTGCCTTTTCCAGCCCCTGGCAGGCTCCTGGGAGCTGGCAGACTAGTCCTGGGGAGCGGTGGAGGGCTGGCTGGCACTGGCTGCCTGGATCATGCTGGGGCCACTGGGTCAGGGGCAGTGACTGCTGGCTCTGGGCTGGCAGGCTTGGAACTGGCACAGGCACTGTGGCCAGAGTGTACCCCTTTAAAGGCTCTGGGGAGCGGGGGAGGGAGAGGAGTTTTCTTGGTTGTGCCCAGAATGGCCACCAGGGCAACGCTTATTTCGAAATAGCAGTTTTGAAATTTGTGCTATTCTTCATGGAATGAGGTTTACCAATTTCAAAATAAGCCCTCCCCTATTTCGATTTAATTTTGAAATAGCGGTTTGGCTGAGTAGACACTGGTAAAGTTGCACTAGAGCTCTGCACGAGGCTTCTGATACGAAGCACATTTAATCAAGAAAGGCAAACTGGGTGTCCAGCTTCCCAAGTAAGTGTTTGAATTCATTTTTGGGGGGCTATTCTAAAGCCCCTTGAAGGCAATGGCAAGAAACCTATTAATTTCATTGGTGTTTGGATCAAGCCCCATGTTGAGACTTCCAGTAGCACTAAGTAAGAATCTTTCAAATACTATCTTGCATTGCAGTGAATGCCCAATTTCATTTACCTTTGTCAGGATATAGCTGCAATCTCCAAAGAAGGAATAATGTTTCTCGTCAAATGTGGAAATGTGGGAACCACCTTCAATGGAGCAAGTGCCAGGGCACGAAAGGCTGACACAAGTCCACTGGCCTCCAGTACAGGTACTGAAACAAAAGATGAGAGATATTTGTTAAGCTTGAGTGACACAAGCCTAAGGAAAATATTAGAAAATGGGGACCGATGGCCACTTCATTTCCTCCTCTGCTTTTGATCTCTGCAAGTAGATTAACTGATATTGCACTAACAACTCAGAATGAATAAGGGGAAAGCATTTCTGTCTTCATGATAATTTAGTTTCAATCTAAAGCTATTCATTGCAAATCTCTAAATCAATGCAACCCTTGTGAAAGTGGAAGCAATTCTATTCAATACCAAAATGGATCATATCTAGAATATTCATATTTCAGGCTGGAGTCCCCAATGGCTTTATGTTACTCAGGGCTGATTTGAGCATCCAGTGACAGGATTTGATCCTCCTGGGTTTGAAAATGAGGTAACTTTTGTCTTATTCAAGTTTTTGTTCTCCTGCACAGAAAGACACCAAGGAGAAAAAAAAATTTACCGAGGATTTTAAGTTTCAGACTAATATATTGATTCCCACATCCTATACAATCGGTGATTTCTTCCCCACTGACAACAAGGATTAGGTAATGCATACAAAGGGAAAGGATTTGAAAAAAGTAGTAGATTACCATGAAGTGCACTGGGATGCAAAAGAAGCTCCTGGACTGTATGTTTCACCTTTGTAGGTACAGGGGCACTCAATAAGAGGAATGCAGCCTGAGCTGTTAATGTCATCAAATACGGTTCCTAAAGGAAGAAACCAGTATGTAGTAATTCACTCTGTTATGCATTCCAGGAGTTGTTTTGGAGCACACCTGTGGAAAGCATCCTAAAACATTTTGTGTTTCTTTTTTATTACAGATGAAATGGAAAAACCAAGCATTGTTGGACACTGCTATCCACTGACTGCTGTGGATGTGTAGCCAATTAAGAACTGGCTAAAATCCTAGAACTTCTTTGCTCTATAATTCTCTGGTAGGTGCCTTTGTGAGATGGGCCTCGTTGATTTGAATTAGAAGATGACAGAGCAGCAGGATGTAATAGCTCAAACATCTGTACATTTTCATTGGGACCTATTTGAGGTGTAAACAATACACACCCTACAGCACATAGTAGCTTCAGGGAGGATAGTTAATTTATTCTGATAAGAGATAAGGACACAAGGGAGTGCAACATGGGCCAAAGAGCAGTGATGGGAAATTAGCTGAGAAAGATAAATTCACTCTAGTCAGCAAAAATCCTTAGCACCAGAACTTAGTTTTCATGAAAATAACAGGCAGTTATGAATGTTCCCTATAAGCTGAGCAATTGGGTGGCTGCCCAGGAGAGTCAAATGCCACCTAGCTTATTAGCAGGGCACCCACAGCCTCACACAAACAGCAGCATGGTTTTCTATTGGTGGTGCACATCTGCACATGGCGTGGTGCATATAACAAAATTTATTCTGTACACAAATAAAAAATAGAGGGAACGTTGTCAGCTACTGTACCTACACTTACAGATGAATGTCTGTTTATTATGTATAATTCCTGAAAATAGCTGTTCTTATAAACTGATGAGTGCTCCCAACTCCCAGGCTACGTCTACACTGGCCCCTTTTCCGGAAGGGGCATGTTAATTTCAGCTATCGTAGTAGGGAAATCCGCGGGGGATTTAAATATCCCCCGCGGCATTTAAATAAAAATGTCCGCCGCTTTTTTCCGGCTTTTAGAAAAGCCGGAAAAGAGCGTCTACACTGGCCCCGATCCTCCGGAAAAAGCGCCCTTTTCCGGAGGATCAAAAGGGCGCTTTTTCCGGAGGATCGGGGCCAGTGTAGACGCTCTTTTCCGGCTTTTCTAAAAGCCGGAAAAAAGCGGCGGACATTTTTATTTAAATGCCGCGGGGGATATTTAAATCCCCCGCGGATTTCCCTACTACGATAGCTGAAATTAACATGCCCCTTCCGGAAAAGGGGCCAGTGTAGACGTAGCCCCAGTGTTTACAGAGAGAGATGAGAACAGTCAGCGCTGCACAGAATCAGTTGTTAATGTCAGGAAACATTTCTGTGGGTAGAAGGTGATTAAATATAGTCGGCTTATTGCTAACAGTGGCTAAGGAAGTTGCCAGGTTTAGAGAGCTCCATCTCTAGGATGCTGTCACATACTCATTTCAGTCACTTTGTGGCACATTGGACGCATGTCCTGAGTAAACCCCTGTCATGGGTATTTCCATTACCATGGATAGAAGGAAGCACATGTATCAAGGAAGGAAAATAGCTCTTACTGTAGCTGTGGAACAAGCACTAAAACGTACCAAGTCACCTAGGAGAGCTGCTCTACGTATACAGATACGTGTGCTGATGCTTTTGAATATGAGAAAGGGATGAATGTAAACTTGCCTGGGGGGCAGACGCAGCCATCGGTACAGTGATCTTCACAGAGCTCTGACCTTTCCGGGTTGGTGCAGGTGTTGGCGCAGGGAGAGCCACATTCCATGTGCTGCATGTTGTAAGGGCACGTCTTGTCTGAAAGTAGGGAAAAGGACAGAGAGTTCTTGAGTGAATCCTCCTTTAAACCGTGGCGAGGTGGCATCTGTGTCTGATGATGAATTCTTTGGAGATGTGTTAATACTGGTAATTTGTTATTGACTCCTGCAGGGAATCCTGGAATCCCCAGTCACTGGAAAATGTTTAAACCTTTTAATTCTTGTAAGGCCCCGAGGCACTTAGGTTAACACTGACTTTGTGAAAATGAGCTGCTTAGGCCTCTTGATGGACGTCTGCATAGGAGTACATTTCCAAAGTTTGGAATTTGTTGCACGCAGGCCCAATGTCAGCATTTCTGGGCCCCAGGGCAGAAATCAATGGGCTGTCTGCCCCCCTCCTTCAACTGGGGTCACAAGCTCCATCCTGCCTGGAGAATCCCCAAGTACCCCCGTCCTCTACCAGAAGAGCCCTCAGCCAGCCCAGCTCCTTCCCCCATTTGCTTGGATGAACCCCAGGGCAGCCGCATTGCACCAACCTATCCTTTCCCAGGTCAAGCCCACCTGCTGTGGGAGAAAAGCTGCAGCAACATCTGATTGAAAGCAGTGTCTGATTGAAAGACATTTTCGATATGCCCCATGCAGGTTTCAGGGCCTAGTAATCTAGCTCCAGAACCTGCATGGGGCATATCAAAAGCATCAAGACTCAAGAGATGCTTTCCCCCAGAGCAGACAGAGCTATCACGGCAGTGGCTGGAGTCCCCAGGCCCTGGTCAGTTGCCCCCTTTGCTCTCCTGTGTGGCGGGGCCTGGTGGCAAGCACAGAACAAAGCCTCTTCTTGAGACACTTACTGCACAGTCCTTCAGTTCTCCAGTTCAGAGGTTGCCCGCCAGCATGGGAACACTGCCGAGAGTATTCAGCAAAGGTGTTACAAATGCAGAAGTCAGTCAGAGACTCTTCACAGCGGCACAAGTCTTCTACGCAAGAGTTAATATAGTCTTGAACTTCAACCAAGGCATTGCAGTTCACAAATGCTTCACCAGTCAATACGGTCTGGCAGATATCGCTCTGGAAGGGAAAATAGCAGTGTTAAAGCTATAGAGATTAGAGAAAGCCAAAGAGCTATTTTTTTATTGAGATATTTCAAAGTGTTTCACTTCAAGACATGCCGTTGACCTCATTTTGATTTGTGTTATGCTTTCCTTCTCTTCCAAATTTCCCAACTATTAATTGAATGATATGGAAGGAAGCACTTTTAATTTAATGATAGGAGGAAGCACATACATATCAGTGGGAAAAAAAACCACTCCAGAAAAGATCCTTACTAATTCATTAGAGCATTTTGTGGGAGAGGAAGGTATAGGGTCCTCGCATTGTTCTGTGGGTCCATCCATCTTCTGCATATTCCCAAACTGCAGTTCTGTCAGTTTGATGTCTGCAATAAACAGGTTTTTACAAATTATTCTGGTGTTTTTATTGGCTTTAAAAATGAAAGGCAGGATTCATTTTGGGTGGAGGTTGGTGTACTCATAACAATGACATTGATGAGATTTGTAGTGGTAATCACAAGGGGTACGTCTAAACTACATGGCTCCGTCGACGGAGCCATGTAGTTTAGACGTACCCCTTGTGATTACCACTACAAATCTCATCAATGTCATTGTTATGAGTACACCAACCTCCACCCAAAATGAATCCTGCCTTTCATTTTTAAAGCCAATAAAAACACCAGAATAATTTGTAAAAACCTGTTTATTGCAGACATCAAACTGACAGAACTGCAGTTTGGGAATATGCAGAAGATGGATGGACCCACAGAACAATGCGAGGACCCTATACCTTCCTCTCCCACAAAATGCTCTAATGAATTAGTAAGGATCTTTTCTGGAGTGGTTTTTTTTCCCACTGATATGTATGTGCTTCCTCCTATCATTAAATTAAAAGTGCTTCCTTCCATATCATTCAATTAATAGTTGGGAAATTTGGAAGAGAAGGAAAGCATAACACAAATCAAAATGAGGTCAACGGCATGTCTTGAAGTGAAACACTTTGAAATATCTCAATAAAAAACAAAAATGAAGAGTGATGAAGATAGTGTGAACAGCTGTCTCAAGTTTGATGTTGAAATATATAAAAAAAAAATAGGAAGTCACCTGTGACAGATTTATCCCTAGGCCAACCATAAAAATATTAGTTCAAATGACATGAAAATAGTCCATGCCAATATTAAACATTGGTGTAGTTTAATATTAAATGTCAGTAGAGTATCACAATTTATCTGTGGATCAGTGCCTATTGTCTATGAAGGAAATACCATTCTGGATTTCAGAAGACTGGAAAAGGGCAAATGCAGGGCACATCTTGTTTGAAAGAAGAAGAAAAGGATAGAGAGTTCTTAATTTAATCTCCATATATTGGCGTTCCCATTTAAAAGCTTGGAGAGGTGACATCTATATCTGAAGATGGATTCCTTAATGGTACGTCTACACTAGCTCACTAGATCGATCTAGGGAGGCTAATGAGACCGAAATTTCAAATTACGCTCAGGATTTAAATATCCCATGCTTGATTTGCATGTTCCCGGCCGGTCTCCATTTTAGAAATTGACTAGGCCGAAGTAACTGCCCACGTGTACATGTGGCAGTGAAACGGAATTCCTATTTAAAGCCCTTAATTCGAATTAGGTGGTAAACCTCATTGCAGGAGGAATACCACCTAATTCAATTTAGGGCTTTAAACTGGAATCTGTTTCACTGCCACGTGTAGACATGGGCAGTTACTTTGGACTAGTCAATTTCTAAAATGGCAACCGGATGGGAACATGCAAATCAAGCCCAGGATATTTAAATCCTGGGCTTGATTTGCAGTTCTGGTCACCCTCATTAGCCTCCCTAGATCAATCTAGGGGGCTAGTATAGACATACCCTGAGAGATGTGTTCATATCTGCCATTTGATATTCATTCCACTGGGGAAAACTGGAATCCCAGTCACTGGAAAATGTTTAAAACCTTTAATTCCTGTAAAGCCCTGGTCTATAAAAAGGGAAATAGGGACAACCCAGGGAATTACAGACCAGTCATCCTGACTTTTGTACTCAGAAAGATTATGGAGCATCTAGTTAAGCAATCAATTTGAAAACACACAGAAGATAAGGAGATAAGTGACAGATAAGTAACATGGTTTTGTCAAAAAACAAATTGTGTCAAATTTACCTGATAGCTTTGTTTGAAGAGTAAAAAGGTCTTGTAGATATAAGGGGTGGGGAGGGGGGAAGCAGCAGACTATTATATCTTGACTTTAAGAAAGCTTTTGATACTGAGTCACATGGCAATCTCATAAAAATAAAACTAAGGATATGCAACCTATATGTTCAAAACTGATTGGAAAACCATTTCTAGACAGTAATTATCAATGGTTCACAGTCCTGCTGGAGTGACATAATGAGGAATCCGTTCTGGGTCTGGTTCTGTTCAATATCTTCATCACTGATTTAGATAATGGCATAGAGCAGGGGTCGGCAACCTTTCAGAAGTGGCGTGCCAAGATTTTACTTATTCACTTCTATTTATGGATCTGTGTGTTGAGGGTTGGAGAGTGGGGAGGAGGGAAAGGAACAGGCTGCGGCAGGCTGGATAAAGTGCCCATATTTTCTGAACCAGCTGCGGCTAGGGAGAATGGTTTAATTTAAATACTCTAGAGCAATCTAAGCTAATGAGTGGGCTCCATGAATGGCCCTCCTTTGCCTCAACGGTCTACAAGATTGTCTTAACCAAGACTGTCTCCAAGGATAGGGTAGATTTTCTAACTGCACACGTACCCAAAAGTTGTGGGCTGTGCCAATTGACCCTTAGCAGCAGAGGGAGTGCACGGCTCTCAGTCATTGTTGTGGGCAATCAGCGCACACCTCACTTCACGTGCCCTTGCTTTGTGTGCATGCCACCCTAGTAATACTAGTGGTAGATAAAGTACATGGACAGAAGCCAGCAGATTCTGTGTGTGGGCCACACAGAGAACCCAATCAACTGTGTGCAGCTTGCGGGCCACATGTTGCTCACCACTGGTCTTGATAAGCCTGCAATTAGTGCAGGGGCCTGGGCTAGATGGCCACTCGAGGTCCCTTGTATGACTCTATTACAGGAAGTGAAATCAAACTGCAATGCTGAACAATGTGTTTGTTACTTACTGTTTGACAGGAACTCATTATAAGTTGGAATGCCATTGAAGTCTCCACAAAGCCCGCAGGTTTGATTGGCATATTTCTTATCCAGTTCCACCTGAAAAAAATGGGGCGGGTTACACACACAGTTAAAATGTACAGTGTATTCAGTGTTAAGGATAAAATTCACTACTATCCACAGGTCCATGTAAGTTTTCAAAATCTGTAATGCATAGACATGGTGCTGGTCCTTGACATGGGGTGAAGTTTAACAGACAGGTTTTACATAGAGATGGGTATTTGGGAGAACCCTATGATGGAGAAAACTAAATCTGATCTATTTTATAACCATTGATTTTTTTACGATCACCCCAGGACTTCAGGATGGGAGTTATTGCTGGTTTCTTTACTGAAGTTTCCTCCCTGGATGGACATCTCACTATTGCTGGACTTCTGCTCCATTGTTTATACCACTGAATACCAGTAAAAACTCAGGCTGAATCTAGCCCATGGGCTGTGAACATCAAAGCAGTGTGCATTTAGTAGCTAAGGAAGATTACATTTAACTAAAAAATCTGTTAGTGTCTTGGGGAGAATGGTGATCGCAAGGTAAATTCAGAGAAAAGCAGGGACATTAGAAGCATAATAGGGTAACACAATGCATTGAAAATGGACAAAAATGCCAAATTACCTCTCTCTGGCTCACGACAGGCATTAAGAGGATTAATTTACAAATAGGTGTTCTTTGCAACATCTGGAATGCATACTTACCAAAAAGCTATCCAGTTGGTTCCACAGGCAGACCAGGCCTAACTTAGCAGTGATTTTCAAATAGTCATTTGTTCTCTCAATCAGGGTTCCTGACTGGCTGAAGGGCAGCTGAATTCTGGAGATAAAGCAAACTACAATTAAAATGAGAGTGCAACATTTGAGAGACACTATTTGAGACATTTTTCATGCAAATGACTAAGGAATTTGTTACGGGGTAAATCTCTCTAATCTGGCACTCTCTGGTCCTGCAACATCCATGGTTTTGCATGATTTTGGTTGGCCATATGTCCACTTATCATGGGTGTGGCCAAGTTTTCCATGGTCCCCTAAAGTTTGTTTATAGCCACCAGTCTTGGCTCTGAGTGTTCTGTGCTGTTGTTTAGCTCTAACAGCCGCGTAAGCAGTGGAAGTGTTGGTAATGCTGCTACAATAATGACCTCACATGGTTCAGCAAATTCTCTGGTTTAGTACTGGTCAGGCCCTGAGAGTGCTGGATTCGAGAGGTTCAGCCTGTAGTTATACATGTTGCTAAATATGAACTGCGGAACTTTCTAACAATCTGGAAACCTTGAATGATGAGGTGGTTAAGTTCCTATGCAATTGCTTCCCAAAGTGCTGTGAAACCAGTGTTATGTTTTGGTGCCATTTCTTTTCAGTGAATCTAGAAATGACGCTTTTTCAGTGTTTCCCAATTGGTGCTCCGCGGAACCCTGGGGTTCCAGAAGCGAAAGTAGGGGTTCCATGAGGAGCCGGTACTCCCCCGCCCCCTCTGAAAGAGAGCGAGCTGGCTAGCCAGCTTCTTAAAGAAGCAGCACACTTATTTCCCATTCCTCCCTGGAGACGCAGAGACGTAGGAAGGCGGGGGCAGAGGGGAACAATTGCTCCCAGGTGGCACACTAGGGGGGTGCCAGACAGGAGTGACCCCACATGACACACAACGGGGAGGGAAGCACTTCCCCTCCCCAAAGGAGCTGGCATGCGCTGCCTGAACAGCTGGGGCTGTGGCACCCGGCAACTTAGTTTCGCTGCCTTTCTGTGCGGTGCAGGGTAGGGAGGTCAGGAAACCTGGGTCTGCGCAGCTCCAACTGTACAGGCAGCAATCTCTGCCCTGGGACTCACCACGCCCTCCCTCCCCCCACAGGACGGCATCACGGAAGTAAGTTGCTGGAGTGCAACAGCCCCTGCTGTTCAGGCAGTGTGCACACCAGCTGTTTGGGGAAGGGAAGTGCAGTCTCACACTTCCCATAACCCAGAGGTGCTGCAGGATTACCAGGTACTGCTTCTAGCTGCCCCTATCCCCTGCCCAGACCCCCCACGAGTACCTTGTCCTCTGCCCCCACCAGCACTGTCCTCAGCACCCAGCAGCACCCTATTCCTTGTCCCAGCACCCTGCTACCCACCGCAGCACCCAGCACCACCCTGTCCCTGGCCCCAGCATTCTGCCATCTACCCTAGCACCCAGCAGCACCCTACCCCTGGACCCAGCACCCTGCCACCCACTCCAGTGCCCAGCAGGACCATGGCCCTGACCCCAGCATCCTGGCCAGCACCCCACCACCTGTGCCAGCATCCTGCCACCCAGAAGCAACCTCTCTCCGGCCCCAGCACTCACTAGCACCCTATCCCCTGCCCCACCAGCACAGTTGGGACCACATTAGTGAGGCTTGGGGGATTTTTTTTTTTTGCATCTCACTTGTGTGGCCTCAACTGACTTTTCTGTGGATAAGTGATCCTTAACTCAAAAGAGGTTCCTCGCCCATCTCATAAATAAAGGCAATGCTAAAACCTTTTGAGTTTGACATAATATTTTATTTAAAAATGAAGCCTGGCCAACATGCCCCAAATCCCCATCTCACTGCAGCATCATAACACTCCTGCACCACCTGACCCCAAATCTGAGCCAATCATACGATGGAACCCCCTGTCTTGAGCCTCTTACATCCTCAAACTCCTGCAGCCCCACATCCTCAGTCTTCTGCCACAACATTCCTGCACCATCCACATACTGCAAATCTGTTTTCTGAGCCCATCATACTCACAGCCTCCTTGCCCTGAATCCCTCACATATCCAACCCAAACTCCTGCACCCTCACATCCACAAGCCTGTGACTTGCTCGGCACCCCAACCTTCCACCTGAGCCCAACACTCCCCAGCTTGGAATCCCCTCCCCGAGCCAGCATCCTCTTCTCCTGCATCCAAATTCCCTTTCAGAGTTTGCACTTCTCACCCCTTCCCGTCTGGTATTTTCTGAATTTTTCCGCAGCCAGGAGGCAAAAATGCTTGGCACCTTGCAACCCTACAAACACTCAGCTCCTGGCCCCCCCCCCCCAGCCCCCCCCAAAACCCCCCACGAGGGGGGAACAGAGAGGATGGGGCCTCAAAGGGGTGGTGTCTTGGGGAAGGAATGTGAATTTCATGCATTGGTGGATTACCCTTTTTTTTTTTTTTTTTTTGCTGGACAAACCTAGGGTTTCCTTGAAATTCTGAAAAGCTGAAAAAGGTTTCATTGGCAAATAAAGTTGGGAAACACTGCTTTAGTGTGCATAAAATGCTGCCTTATTGGCTATATTATTTAATTCAGGAAGTGCTACGTCTGTTTAGCAAGTGCATTTCAAGTGCTATGCTGTTATTATTGTAATGCTTATATAGGACTAGCCTCTCTGAAAGACATTTTTTTATTGTTCTTTCTTTGTAATTAAGACTAGCTTAGTTGATATGGGAGAGCTGGGATTGACTGATTCCCCCTCTCCCCTAAACAGTCTTAAAGGGACAATATGAAAGGCTTTCTAGTGTGGTACTAGAATCACTGAGATGCTTTCCCCCTTCACAGCATCCTTTAGGAAGGAAGACTTTGGACTTTTGTTCTTTTGCTAATATGCACTCTTCCTTCCTTCCTTCATTCCTTCCTTCTGTAGTGTCACTTTTGTATCCTGATCTTGGATTTATTTATATGTTTTGCTATATTTGCTTTTATTCTAACTTTATTTTGTCACATTTAGGGCACGTCTACACAGCAGGGCTAAAGCCGAAATAAGCTACGCAACTTGAGCTACGTCAGCTGCGTAGCTTAAGATGAAATCCCTTATTTCGGCTTTTGGTGCTGTCTACACAGCAGAAAGTCCAAGTTAGAGCAGTCTTCCTTCTGACTTTCCTTACTCCTCATAAAATGGGGCTTACAGGAGTTGGAGTAAGAAATCCTCCAGCTCGACATTATTTCAACATTATGTCAAAATAACTGCTTTCTATGTAGACACAGGCTATGTTATTTTGGAATAATGTCAGTTATTTTGAAATAATGCTGCTGTGTAGACATAGCCTTAGAGGCCTCTAATTTACAACAGTAGGGCAGTGTCCGGAGTACAACTGAAATGTATGGAACATAGGACAGGAGGTAACCTGTAAAGGGTGAATAAAGCTCAACCCTTCATCTTCCTGTTTCTGCTGCTCCTCTAAGAAGGACCTATCTCTTTGTGCTGGGTGTTAGAGCAGCTCGAGAGAATGAAACCGAAATAGCATGCTTTCAAACAGACAATTAGGAGCAATGCCTATGTTGACAATTTCAGTAGATAATAAGACACCTGGACTTACGGATTGTCATTGACCACAATGGAGTTTGAGGTCAATTCAATCACCTCTCCATCAAGCTTCAAGGTGACATGGCTGATCACAGGAGAATTTTCCACCACAGTGCGCCTGATCTGGATGTTAAAGTCCTCATAGGCAGATTTGCAGTGGGATACAAAGAGATAGTTGCAGAGCCCAGGGAAGTGAAAGATGTCTCCATCAAAGCCCTTAAAGTGCGAGTTGCCCCAGGTGCTGCACACACGTCCATTGTGAGCCGGGTTTCCAGCTGCGGATTCAAAACAAATTTTTCCATTTACACTGAAAATTCCAGTGTAAAATTCCTCTACTCACTCAGTGACTATACATTTACATATTTATCCATCCATCTAAACAATAAACCCATTCTCTATTTTCTCTTCATATCTGTAGTGGTCAATTGTGGAAGAACTTTGTATGTGCTAGTTTAGGGGTGGTGAGGCCTGCATTCTTTCCCCCTTTCCCTTTTCCCTACAAGTCTTTGGGAACATACGCCACTTAAGATAAGCATTGTTGCCAGTATAGCAAGAACAAGTCTGATATAAGGGTAAAGGGCAAGAACACATAAACAATTCTGTTTACCCTAACATACTGATCACATAAACAGGGTCAAAGAACAAGAAGATCCAGATCAGAACCAGATCGATAACTAACAGCTGAGGCCTACATCAGCACTAATGAGTGAGCCCTGGAAATTTCCAAACTGCCAAACAAGGCAGGAAAACTGTATTTAAGGCTACCGCAGAGCCTAGCAAATTGGACTTCATGGATGGGCTTTGGGTACTGGCGCCTCGGAAGCTGAGACAACCTCCCACTTCATCTGCAGCCTACCCAGGGTCCCAGGCTTGCAGGAAGGGACGTAAGATATGCCACTTCTTTGTTATATTGTTCTTCCATTTACTGGGCACAGCTGTTAGCTGTCAAGAAATAAACTACTTGTGTTTGACAGATACCTGTGTAGCATCCTTTGTACTTTGGGAACCCAGTGTCGGACCTGAGACTTACTCTGGCCGGCTACAATATCTAACTGTTTATTTGTCTATAGATTGTTCATTGAATTACATTTTCTCTTAGTCTATCCCTCTCTTCATTTATTCCTCACTCTACAGTTCTGATCAATGTTCCATAAAGTCACAGACTTACGCTTTACTAGCAGTGTCGTTCTAGGTGGTGAGATGATTGTCACTTCTTGTGGTTTAGTTACGGGTACAGAAAAATCTAAACAAAAGAAATACAATTATCACTAATCCAAAGGTTCAATAAATATGTGAACAGACACAGATATGGATCTCCTACCCTCATTAGTGGTTAAAGGTTTTAGTGCAAGTAAAAAATATATATTTGACTGGAAAGTTTCCAAGGGAGTCTACTGATGGCTTTAATTTCACTGCCTCAAATTCTGGCTTCCAGGATGAAACTGTCACTAATAGGATGATTTGCTAACCCTTCCTGAAGTCAGTAGTCCTCTGTAACACAAGGAGCCTAGCTGAATCTGACCCCACCTGCCCAAAGTAAAAGTAGCATGCGGATACCGATTTAATCCTGCATCTACAATAGGACCTATACAAAAAACCACAGAACACAATGGAGATTAAAATTATTCAGGACCTTTGGTTCCCAGCATAGGTAGAACTGGATAAACTGTAGGAAGGTTTCAAAGGTTGGTGTTGAGAAACCACAGCAGGGCTTAGTTAGATCACACATTATTTTTTTTAGCTGAAAGTGCATGTATATACACACACTCATATATAGCCAACTTCAGTCACACAACAAATTCTTGCAAAATTTTGCAAACCCTTAATCATGAACCTCATGCTTTTTCACATAAGGATTCCCATTTGCCAGATTTGGCCCTGAATTTACTGTATTTTTCTTGCCAATATTTATTCTTCGGTTCCAGTACTGGATGCATTTGAAGTTCAGAGAAGCTGGAGCCTGCAATGTGGTTTCTCAACTCCTCCTGTTGAATCCTCACTACAGCTTTCTACTCACACATACACTGGGAAGCAAAAATTGAGAGAGGTTTTAATCTCCCTTACAGCTTTTTCTGAGATGTTTTTAAAGTCCTTGCAGCAAATGAAGGATGATACCTACTTTCATAACTTCATACATTTGAAAGTCAAAGGGAACCTTTATGTGGCTGTAACCTGATCTTCTGCATAGCACGGGCCACACAATATCACCCGGTGGTTTCTCAATCTCTACACCAATGATTTGTGGTTGTAATAGAACGTCTCTTTTAGAAAGCCAACGGGTCTGGATTTAAAGACTTCAAGGGATAGAGAGCCCTCCAGCTCCCTCGATAAATTGTTACAGTGGTTAGTTACACTCAAAATTAATAGTGTTTGCCATATTTCCAGTCTGACTTCATCAGCCTTCAATTTACCATGGTTGGGTTTGTCAAGGTGGCTAATTTCAGATTAGGTTATGGTTCAGATTTTCAGGCTGATTAGTTAAATTATATTGTAATACATTTACTGGAGAAAGGAATAAGAGTCAATTTGTTATAATTTTTATACAATATAAGTTTTGTTCCTTCACCAGTGTTACACTAGCAGCCAGTACATACCCTTTGTATTATTACATGTAACTAAAATAGTACTTTTTATTACTGATTATCAGGTATCTTTGTGACACATGTACATGTACACGTACACGTACATGTACACGTACACGAACATGTACACACACACACACACACCTCATAAAATGTCCTTGTAAATATACATTGTGTACTTATTACGTAAATATAGATTAGATAACAGTGTAGCTTCAGTGAACCAGATCCTCAGCCAGTGCCCATCAGCATAGCCCCACTGACATCAATGGAGCTCCACTAATTTACACCAGCAGAATATCTGGCCTGACAGTCCAATTCTGGGGAGCTGAACATTGCATTTTGGTAATTGTTCCTCTCCCTTCACTTCAAGGCACAGGACCCTTTAATTACTCTATGCCCATTGCAATGAGTTTTCACAACAACATTGACTGAATTTATATTGTTAAATAAATAAATAAAATAAAATGTAACAACTTACAGTCTTGTCCCTGCTGGACATATGAATCATCTTCATAATTTGTTTGTTGGTCCTCATATTGGGCTTGGACTGGAGCAGAAAAAAAAAGTTACTTTGGAACACTGTGCTCATAAATTCTTCAGTAACATCTGATTGAACAATAGAATCCATGAAAGTCTCATTCTTTTAGGCATAAAAACTGACTGGCAAGGATTGTTTGTTATGCAGTGGCAAATACAAGCACCTCCCCACACAGAGTATAGAATGACTGCTAGCACCACCACTTCTGATGCTAGTATAACCCACACACTTAGTGTGGTTACTGAGCAATGCAAGTGGTACCTAGACCACTGCAACAGTTAAGATCAAGAGACCTCTACAGTGTGGGCTGGAAGTCAGCTGACTTTTAGCTCAGAGGGTAGAGGCTCCTATAGTTTGCTTCAGAAGTGCCAAGTTCAAATCTGCTTTGGGGTGGTTACACTAGTCATCCTAAATGGGTGAGGCTGATATGGGCCCTTCTGCACTTGCTGGATGCCTGAGGCTAGTTCCTGACTAACATACTCTGCACCCTTTGGAAAGCTGTATGGTTTGATCCTACTGTGTGTCCTTTCCTAGCTTTCCAGCCCATGGAATCATCCTACTTTCCTCTCTGCATGCGTACAGTGTCTATGCCATGCCAACTTCCCATGTCCATTATCAGTGGCTGGTAATGGCGCAATTTGTCTCTATGTTTAATAAGGTTTTAATAAAGACTAGTGCAGACGTGCATAGTAGTTAGGAAGAGGTAAAATTATTCATTAGGATTTGTGCATCAGATCAGAAAACACTAGGTAATAACATTTTGTTAGTTTTGCAATGGAGTGAATTAGCAAAGGACACAGTGAATAAAAGATTCTGCAGGATGTGACTATCAAACATCTTCTGAAAAGATAGAAGGCTAGACCTGTGCACTCTGAATCCTGGTTTCATAGGTTATTAAAATTTCTCCTTTCAAGGATAAACTTTGAACAAACTCCTAATGTTGCCTTGACCAACACTCTCAATGATAATTATGCCACACATGAATGTCACTCAGTAGCAGCTTATTTTGCCGATTAAAAGTTAACAATAAAATCCTAAACGCCTTTGCTTTGGACCCAATTCAGCTCTCCTTAAAGATCAACGGAAAGACTGAATTTGACAGGAGTTGGATTGAGCCCTTTGTTTTTACATGGACCTTTTGCAAGCAAACTGCTATTGAACCAATTTTTTTATGGCATTGGTGGATTTTAAAAGTGGATCTAACAGGGTGACGTTTGGCAGGAGCATTGCCCTTCATAGATATATTTTGCTCCATCACAGACTTTGGTTACAACTAAAATCTTGGCATTATTGATGGCCTGTCATAATACACTCTGTAGTGGTTCTTTTTGTAGCCTACAACTGTTCTGTTATAGCTCAATTCATTAATCAATCACATTTAATGCCATGTCTATAAATGCAGGCATTATTTGTTGTTGTAAATTAGGTCTCAGCAGGATTATTCAGAATAATATTAGCATTATGAAGTTGTCTGGTTCAGAATACTAGAAAATTGAAAGCAAAAGAGAACTGGTGAGATGGGTATTTATTAGCCATAAAAACTCAGGGATAGACTTCTTGAGGAAATGTTTAACTAGAAGAAGTGGAAAACACCATTTTGTCTATTTTCGCTCTATTCTGTGGTCTGTTAATACACATAACATGCATACACATTCTTTGACCATTCTTGCAGAAAAGTCAGCATCTTGAATTAATGGAGTGGAACAGCAGCACATAAATGCTGAAAGTTGGGGTACAGTGGGTGCTGCAGCAGCCCCTATCTTGCAGTGTTTTCCATTCTTTACAGGATTTACAGTTTGGTTCAATGGATTAAATCACCCCCACTATGAAAAATGTTCCAGCCTCCCTCCCCCCCCCCAGTAGCAGAAAAGGAAAAGCTGAATGTAAGGATTAATAATAGAAAGCATATTATCACCAGGAGCCAATACCGAATCTTACGTACACCTTGCAGGCTATGTTATGAACTTGCCAAATTTTGAGCAGCTTTCCATGTTTATATTTGAAAAAAAGCCCACAATGATTGACATTGGTAAAAGCGCGAGAATAATTATATGACTAAATTGTACTCTCAGTTATGCCATCCAGCTCTATTGACCATGGCTTTTCAATTCATCCAACTGCTTTTGTTGGGCTTCAGGGCAATATGAAATCAGTGAAGCGACATTAGAAAAGAAAGTAATAGGTAAAAAAGACAGGGAAATCTCATTTAAAAACAAAAGCTTATTAGTTTCACAAAGCAAACCAGAAGCCACTGAAAAGTCTTTCTAACTGCAGAGCAAATGAGAAGTAGTCTAAAGGAATAAAAATAAAAAGCAGCTACAGCCTCCTACCTTTGTTCTGCATAAAGGTGACCACTAATATTGGTATCCATAGTGGTATTCGTCCCCCCCAGCCTATGCCCATCTTGATAGGAGTTCGGTAGAAGGTACCGAACTATAGGCTTCTGAAGAGGCACTTGTCCTTTTACAAGTCTTATATAGCGACAGAATAGACTTTGGCACAGTTCCCAGACTGTTTCACAAGGTTCTAAAAAGGTGGAGCTTCAGAGATTTTAACTTTCCTCTGCAGGTGCATAGGTAAACAAAGGATGCTCCAGCTTCCTTAGGGGCTGGCCAACCGTATTTGTATTCTGGGAGAAGTGTTATTTTCTAAAAGATTTTTCAACTAAAGGAATTCCAAGTGACCAGCAAGGAGGAACAATTGTTCTGTGTTACTGTCTCCAGTTATTACAGCTCTTGCAATCAATATCATTCAAGAATGACTTTTGGGGGGTCAGGGATGGGATTCAGGATAAGAGAGAGTCAGTTCTTTATGATCCCGACTACAGAAGGCAATTTCAAGCTAATTTCTGCAGCAAGCAAAATTCTAACTCCTCCTGATCCAAGTTGTGGGATAGAATTTGTCATGTTTGGATCCCTCATCTTTTGAGAGAAGATTATGTGCCTTGGTGTGTGGCATTTCTGCTGCTGAAGATGAAGACCAAAAAACACTGAAGGCTGACAGTTTTTCCATATGCCAGGCATAGAGTAGGAATATGCAGGGAAGCTCTTCAGTCAGAAACTAATACCCTCCCTAGAAGGAATTCTTATCCTCAGAGGGTGCTCCAGTCACTGTGTTGGATGATATCTGTGTCCCTTCTAAAAGTTGATCTACCCAGGAATTCATTCTGGAATAGCTATTCTCAAAAAACTCCATAGATTAAAGGTTTATGGTGGAATAGCAGTTAAGTTTAATAGTTTAATTCATTTTGGAAGTGGATTAACTTTTAAATTAGCAATTTATTTTATTCAGGATTAATTTTCATGCGTAGATAAGTTCCAAGAAAACATAGCTAATTGAATAGAAATATTTAGTCTCACAAGGGTAGCTGTGATAGTGTGTAGCTTTAAAAAATGAGTAGTCCTGTGGCACCTTCGAGACTAACAAAAATATATAGAATCATGAGCTTCCATGGGTAAAACCCACTTCATCAGATGAGCTGGAGTGGAAATAACAGAAAACAAGAGATATGTATTTATACATATATAACAGCAAAAGAAGTACCTGTCAATTTTAGGACCTGTGTAAATGAGGCTAATTAAGTGGGCTCAATGTGTCCCATTCATAGCTTTTGATGCAAAAATGCAGATGTTAAAGGCAGGATAAATTGGCTTTGGTATATGTCTGAATAGTGAATATATGTATATCTTTTGCTCCATATAATTTGATGGAGATTTCCTTGCTGTACAAATTAAATGTTTTGGCAGGAATGAATTTATATTGGGAACAATGTGAATGTGAACAGTGAGGTTTTGTAAATAGGTCAGTTCATTTTTTAAAGGACTATTACGTTTCCAAGTTGTCTTTTCATTGTGTTTTACCTCTCCGTCTTTCAACAGGTCTAATATAGTAACAGGTATTCTTTCTAGTGGACTCTGTTTATATTTGGTGAATTAGTTTCAGCAGTTAGGGGACAAAGGAAAAATGCTCATGTTTTATCCATTTCCAAAGTGATAGAATGCAGGTGAGACACTCCCTTCCCTGCACACTTTTAAAGTTCAAATGGGTTTAGTGGTGTTAAAATAAATGTAGCACGGGTAAATAAATACAGAGTAAATGAAGAAAACAATCTATCAAATTCTGCCTTGAATTACACTCTGTGAAATTCTATTCAGTGGAAGATATAAATCAGAATAGCATTTGGCCCAAAATCAAAGGGTGACATATATGACTAAAAATACTTTCAAGCAAGAATTGTACAGTGCAAAATTTCAGTAAGTGTCTTGTCATTAAATCAAATATATGTATTTGTAATGATAAGAGTCTATAGGGATGAAGAAACAAAATATACTTGATGGAATTCCCAAATTATGAACCCAGGCACAATGCTGGGTACTTATTGAGACACCTATTGAGATTTTTCACTGTACAATTCTTGCTTGAAAGCCATATTTGTCATCCTTTTATTTTGGTCTAAATGGCATATCGATTTATTCTGATCCGTAATTTGGGAAGTCCATCAATCTATTTTGTTTCTTCATTCTTATAAACTTTTTTAATTCACCATATTTTAACAACAACAACAAAAGGCTATAGTCTATTTTGTTTCCCATAACGTTTTCTTCTAGGTTTCAGATCTTAAATATTGATTTAATTGTGCAAAAACAAACACTGCTCCAAATGGCTTCTTTTTGTCTCTTTTCTGTAAGGTTTGTTGAGAAACAGTCCTATTGCAGGTTCATCCTATTTTTCTGGCTTATCTTGGTTCAGTCTTTTTCCACATTTTCTCAGTTATGTAAATTTTCAGGATTGTACTTGCTTCAGTGTTTCTGTCTCTGTTCTGTACGGTTTTCTGAGAAGCAATCCCTTTCCAGGCACATCCCATTGTCCTGGAGCAACCAAAACCTGACCTTGCTTTAAATTACAATAAGAGGAATCTGTATACTGAATTTGGTGGTTCTAGCTCTTACCATTTAGGAAGAGTTCTTGACCATAGAGACAAACTCTCATATATGTATATCTATATATGTAGATATCTCTATATTATATCCTCCTAAATGGTAAGAGCTAGGACCACCAAATTATGTATATGAAAATGGAGTTTGAAAGGAAGAATATACATATATATATAGAGAGAGAGAGAGAGAGTGAGTGAGAGAGTCTACTTTTAAAACTGCACTTTCTTATTTCATATATATAATATATATAACATTTTTCAATATCTTAATGATTAATTAAATCACCAGTATGATCAGCTGGACCACAGATGTTTCCAGACCAGAGAGTGCTGGACTAGAGAGGTTCAACCTGTACTGTCATTTGAAACTGAGAACCTACCTTAAAACATTTTTGAGAATCTTCAGTTACCATGAGATTCTAATAGGTCTGGAATGATCTCTGTCTTTATTTGTTTGTTTGTTTGTTTGTTTGCATGTGTGTGTTTGTGTGTGTGTGTGAGAAACCATAGTACTAGGAATTCATTGTACCAGGTATTGTACAAAGAGACAGTCCCTGTGCCATTGAGTACATCTAGACTACATGCCTCTGGCAACAGAGGCATGTAGATTAGGCTACCCGGTATAGGAAAATGAAGCGGCAATTTAAATAATCGCTGCTTCATTTAAATTTAAATGGCCGCCGCGCTGAGCCGATCAGCTGTTTGTCAGCTCAGCGTGGTAGTCTGGACGCTCCGCGGTCAACATCAAAGGCATTTGTCGACCCCCCAGGTAAACTTTATCCCAGGAGGCATACCTGGGAGGTCGACAAATGTCTCTGATGTCGACTGCGGAGTGTCCAGATTACCGCGCTAAGCTGACAAACAGCTGATCAGCTCGAGTGGCAGCCATTTAAATTTAAATGAAGCGGCTATTCTTTAAATTGCTGCTTCATTTTCTTATGCTGGGTAGCCTAATCTACATGACTCTGTCGTCAGAGGCATGTAGTCTAAAC